GCCTGCACATGCTCATTCGAGGGATTCAGATTGATCACTGAGATCTTTCAACCCTGCTCTGCCAAAACTCAAGGTCCCTGCTTAATCCCAGGCTCTCGAGGATGTATGTCAGTTTGACTAGGGGGTGTTCAACCTTCTCGACAAGACGAGAAACCCAGTCGTATATGTCTTCTGGTTGACCGTGTTGACCCTTTCGGACGAGCGCCACACATAGGCGCACCCAGTGGATGATGTAAACCTGGTCCATGCAGCCCTGCGCAGCGCGGAACTCAATAGTCCCTTCGAATACTGACTCACCTTTATTGGTCAAAGTGTCAGTTTCCCGTAGGTGTGACAGGGTGACCGCACCGCGAGTAGCTCCGTTGCAGGTAAGCATTGTCAGATCGCTTAGGCTTATCGTGCTCCAGATGAGCCCCATGGATTTCTGTACCAACGATGACGAAATACACCCAAGTGGCACGTGCTTCCTCAAGTCTTCCTCAAGGCGACCCTGTTCCTCGGGATTTTCTGTGAGCTCTAGAAGATGGCAAGATTCATTGCCAGTAGCTGCGTCAGAGCTGGTCGAAATCGGAAGGCAGTATCTGCAATGAGGCCCGCGGCGATGTGATGCAATGAACAATTGCGTAATGGGCTCGGCGAACCAGATGACGGTCACGATCCGTTTCAATTGAAGCAGATCAAATTGCTTATTGTGCGGTGAGACGTGAACATGCAAACCCGCCTGTTCAGGAATGATTGTGCGGAAACTGTTGCGCATGAGTGTTAGACCTTCGGCAAACTTCCCGAACCCATCAGAATTGGCGCGGCCTATGGGTGAAGCAACCTCCATAGCGGCAAAACCCTTGCTGTAGCCATCAACCGGGTCTGCCGTTTCGTCGAGGCTTAAATCGTGTTGTACTTGCCAAGATTGGAAGATAATGTTGAAGTGAGGATGGATGATGAAACCCGCGCCGAGTGCGAGTTTATGCAGGTGCACTTTATCTTGATTGTCGGAGATTGAGGCGAAGAAACCGTTGTCTGCAAGGAGCGTCGCAATTTTGATACGGAGAAATTGACTGCAGTCTTCTTGCGCGGTGATGTCCACGAACGAGGCCTGTGATCCGTCAGTTGTCAATTCATCGCCATCCCCAAGACGGTCAAAATTCCAATCCTTGGCATCAATGAACCAGCGCGGGTCCTGGGGGTGCGGGTCTAGGGCCTTCTCGCCGGCAGGGACCATGAATTCCATTTCCACGCCGAATGTATACTGCGGGCTTGTTTCTGCATCCTTTTCTACACCCTCAAGATCCACAGCGAATCGCGAAGCAAGTTCAGCCAACTCTGGGACTTGGGGGTTTCGACCGAGACCCTCAAAGTACCTGGCTGTCTCTTCAAGCTTCAGTTGGCGCAAGAGCTCTTCAACGGTGAGGCCGCTGCTGTCTTCGCTTCGACCGCTGGTCGCGGACCGGATGATTGGATCCCCCAGCTTCTGGAGTAGATCATTCATACGCATAGGGCTTGACGTCAGGCATGCGTCCACAATTCCAAGGCAGGTCGAAACCCAATGGTAGATGCGCGTCATGTTCAGTGTTCCACTGTGCTGTGTGAATCCAAGTGTTCGTTCATCTGGCTCGTTAGCTTGAAGAGTAGAGAATATGAACGCACCTATCAACTCCGTGGCGCCATCTCTGGCCGGCAAAATGCGCATCTTCTGGATCAAATCGTTCTTTGTAATGGTGTTGAGTAAATCCAACATTCTATACGCGTAAAATGGAGATTGCCAATCGTCTCGCGACATAGCAAGCTCGAACATGGGCGACCTCGTAGCTATGGCTTTTCCCTTGTTGAATAGGTAAGGGGCGGATGCCTTACTCAAAAGCAACTCGTCAGTACTGATTTGCTTGAAGGGGCTAAAGGCTACCGTAAAGGGGAGACCTAGCGCGTTGGGACTGTTGGATGCACAATGAGGCGGGTGTAACTGGTCGATCAGGGAGGTTGCTGACCATAAAAAACGGATGATGTTTTTAAGACCGTCGAGGTCAAACTCACCATTCTCAACCTTTCATCTCCACCTTCAGCGTCGTGTTCGCGTTGATGCCCACAGTGCGTTCATCGGCAATTGTTTCACAGACTTCAAAGACGGCCTCAGCCCAGCTACTCCTA